TCAGCTGTTTCTTTCCACACATCCTACAATGCATTAATCTCCTTCACCTTGCCATTCTTAATGAACTGGTAACTTCTGAGGACACCACAGTACAAATACATGGAAAAGTAAATGGTGTTACAGAATAGTTTTTGTTTTGTTGGTTTTTTTTTCCCCCCCGTGTGTGTGAAGTGCAGCCTTAAAAATTGTGCAAACAGCAGAAATAGGAGGTCAGGTAATAGAGAAGGCCTGGATGTAGTTTGAGACAATAAAAAAAACAGTGACAAAAGGGAATAAAATTCTGATGGGACTTAAAAATGAAGTCAGGAAGCATCAAGAAAGAGGTAGCCTGTGGATAAATCTCAAAAAAAGAAAAAAAAAAAAAAGGAGAAGCAAATAATTTTATAAAAGAAATGGATTTTGGAGGAGGAGAACCTGGAGATGGGTTTTGTTCTGTGGGGGAAGAAAACCCAAGAAGGTTGTAAACTGTGTTTCAAGGGAACTCACTAAATATTTGGATACAATATAGTTGTGAGGATAAAGGAAAGGGATAGTACATGTAAAGGTACACCCAACCAGGCGTGTAAGTGACAGGAACGACATTTGAACTTGGAAAGAAGTATATAAATGTTCAACTAAGATTACTTACTTCATTATATTTAGAAAAATAATGGAAGTAGGCTTTTCAGCACTGAACCACTGTATCACCGTACCTCACATTAAGCGTTTGAGCTTGGTTGGATGCATTTTGATGTCATTTTAAATAAGGCTGCTTCTTTTTCTCTTTCAGTAGCACAGTTAGCAGTCTACATGCAAGAGTCGATTCGCTAGAGAAATCCAACACTAAACTCATCGAAGAGGTACTATGGTTTTAGTGCTGTATAATAGAGATTATTTACTTTCAAATGCTGTTTTTCTAAATACAGGTTCATCTACCTAAGTTCTTTACTGTATGAGCAGATAGCCTTATTTTGGCTTGAAGAGAAGGTGCAGTAGCTGCATGGGTGGAAGTCAGCTGGCCTAGGTAGCCTGCAGCCTCAATAAATGGATTCTGTAGAACATCACAGTTTCTCACTTTGGACAACACCGGAGGAGAAGCCGTTCTTAATGCCAGCTGTCAGGGCAATTCTGTGCAGATGGCTGGTCCGTAATGGGTGACACCAGTTGCTACAAAGGGACAGAAAGTAGTTCACCGAGCAGTTTTTGTTACCGCTCTCAGCTTTAGCCAAAGCACTGTTTCTTGCTTAGCTATCATATGCTTATGTACAGTTAGTAAACTTGTCTAACGCTGGTTTTGTATTTATGTCCTATATTTTCTGCTATCTTTGATGCTTGACTAGGTTGCAATATATTCAGCTTTATAAGAGAGAGCACCATTTTTTCTAATCCGAGCTGCCTGAGAAGTAGTTAATGAAGTGGATAACTGAAATGTCTAAATTCAGCTGCTGGAGGGATAGTTAGCTCCCTCCCATGTATCCAGAGAGAAAACACTTCTTCCGAGTGTTAAATCTTGGACTATTTCGGCTCCTTTACAAGCCTTCAGCCCAGCTGTCTGCCTGTTTTGATCAGCTGGCTTACAATCCTGACATTAAGGTATATTCTGTAGGGCCCAGTTATCGTGTCTTCTCATCTGTAAATATCTTCTGGTTTCACCTGGGAGAGATTTTATGATATAAATTGCTCCGTATGATTATGTTAAGGTATCCAAAAAAGAATAAAGCTGGATATATTTGGATCCAAACAGAAAGAAAAAAAATCTAGGGTGAGGAAAGGGAATTTGAGGGCCTTTAAATCATAATGAAGTAGTGAAAAGAAAGCATATTCTATGCCAGACATGAACTAATGAAGTATTTTGAATACACATGCTGGTGTGTAATGAAAATGACTCATTACTACACCAGGAGCTTGTTGTTTTCTTTATAAACAATTAAACCTCTCTTTGCTAGACTGTAAGAATAGGGCAGAGAGCGTCCTGGTCTTGCATTCATTAGACTGTTTTAGTCTTTATTTCCACTCATAAAAGTGGTGACACTGCTTTTCCTTTCTTTTTCCCCCTCCCCCAGTTAGCGATAGCCAAAAACAATATCATTAAACTTCAGGAAGAAAACCATCAATTAAGGAGTGAAAATACACTCATCTTAATGAAGACACAGCATCATCTAGAGGTGTGTTCGTTTTACTGTACGTAACGTTGTGTGGTTCATGGTCGTTGGAATGTTCTTACGTTGCAGCCTGCAGTATTCCTCAGCAGCTGGGCCGAATCTGAAGCAGCTTGTATTAGGGAAAGGGCCTGTTAGTTCTGGGAAACTTTATAATGGCATAAATATATTGAAATTATAGAAGACTAAGTTGTTTTATAACCATATGCAAATTTAGTAGCATTTTTCCTTGTATGCTTTTTATTTGTCTTCCTCCTTTTTTCTTTAAACTGTAAGCTATGTCTAAGAACACTGAAGGCATATTGTCTGAAAATCTTGTCAAACTGGTGCATGTTTTAGTTGGCAAACTGTCTGTTCTGACCTGTCTCACTGTATGAAACGTCATTTGGAGTAATCGCGTAGACGATCGCGGCCCTTGGTTTTTAAGCTGTGCTTTGTGGGCCCTAATTGCAATCCCATGTATGTGTTTTACAGATAATTGGTAAAAGCACAGGTTAAGCAGGTGTTTGGATGGCTGAGCAGTAAAACAGTTGCTTCACCCCCCGAGTGTTAAATGTATGCTATTAATTGCTAAACTTGTGCTGAAGGAAGCTGGGGTCTCTGTATCTTTGTAGGCAACGAAAGTGGATGTGGAAGCAGAACTTCAGACATACAAACACTCCAGGCAGGGTTTAGATGAAATGTACAATGAAGCACGTAGACAGCTTCGAGAAGAATCACAGCTACGACAAGTAAGTGTTCTTTTCTAGGATTACACAGCCCTTCTGGAAAAGATGGTGCTTGAGAAGAGTCAGTATGTAACTGTTTCTAGTTTTGCTGACCTTAGATGCTGCCTTTAATTGCCTTTTCTCTAACCGCCTGTAATAAGAAGGGCTTTTTACCAGAGCAATCAGTACATCAGTATTTCTGTAACAGTGTTCCTAAAGCATTGGAAAGACAATTTCTTGGAGACATTTTTGGGAAAGTTGCTAGCTGTACAGTATACATGCTAAATCTTTCTGGTGAAATTAGAAATCCTTTAGTCCTATTTTTGTAATTAATAGTTGGGCAATTCTGTGAAGCACTGGCAGGGTAATTTCTTATGATGTGAGATGTCTTCCCCCAGGGTTATAAAAAGGGTGTCGTTCACTGAGTATGTGATGTTCATGTAGTGGATAATCTGGAAGGGCAAGGGGCAAAACGTCTGATGCTGCAGCTCTGTTAGAGTTAGCTTCTGTCCCGTTCAAAACGTTGACAAAATACTGCCTAATTACTTACAGATTCGGCGTTGCATTGTGTTTTACAGGATATGGAGAACGAGCTAGTGGTTCAAGTTAGTATGAAACATGAGATAGAGCTTGCCATGAAGCTGCTGGAGAAGGACATCCATGAAAAGCAGGATACCCTCATAGGCCTTCGGCAGCAGCTGGATGAAGTTAAAGCAATTAACATGGAAATGTATCAAAAGCTGCAGGTAAGGGAACAGCCTGCTGGGAAACTGGTGACATGACTTTGATTGGAGCGAGAGAGATGCGTTACCATTCTGTTTCCGTAAATACTGCCGTTTCCTTAATTTTTGGTTTCTTTCAGCTTCTTAGGTCTGCTTGTCATTTTTGAAGGTTACTGCTGCAAGCGTGCTTTCACACCGAGCAGTCCTTAAGGCAGGCAGTTGATGCTGGTGGGTTTGTAAAAGAAAAGAGCATGTGAATCAGGCCATGGTCTCCTAACACGCTGTGTGGAATAACGAGGGCAGTAGTAGTGTATCTAGTGATAATGACACTTTTTGGCCTGCATTGTTATAAACCCAAGAGAATGTAAGCACATAGTGAGGAGTTAGAGGAGAGCTGAAATTCCAGAATAAGGAAAGGCACTTGGAAAACAAGGTTGTCTTAAATGGAAAGAGCTAATTACAGTTTTGGGTTTTTTTCAATCTCTTGACAACTGAAGAAAAGCTGTAACAATGCAGTGCTGCTCTGGGAGAATATGGATCTCCGAGACCCGGCATGCACCTAATAAATGACCAGACACCAGGGGAGTTTAGCACTGAATTATTTATGCAGAACATAAACTTGATTTGTGGAATAAATGATCAAAACCAGCACAAGAAACCAGTCAAATCTGTGGCGAGGGGGTGTATGCGTGGAAATTTGGATGCTGCAGAGAGATAATTGAGCTGATGGATAAAGGATGCTACTTTCCCACCTGCAGCTGTGAGGAAACTGGACCAGAGGAAGCAAAACATAAATAGAGCTGGAAAGAAAAATAAGAAGAGAATGTTCTTCAGCATGTTAGGATCTGTAGGATTTTGTTTTTCTTCTAAAGCTCTACTTCTGGAGACTGATTTCACTTAATGACGTTCAGGCCCGCTTCCCGCATTGCCCGCTTCAGGCAATGTAAAACAGTTCAGTCGTGTGCAGGCTCCGCTGTTGAGGGACGCGTGGATAGTGTTGGTCTGTACAGCAAGGCTGATTGCTCTAACTTTTATTTAGATCTCGAAGCTGGGCTTGCAGTAGCTCTGCAAGCAATCAAAACAGTGAAATGCGTTAGCAAAATTCTTGAAACGTTTTTAGGCACGTGTGTGTTTGATACGAGTTGGAGAACCTAAGTGATTGCCAGGACTTGAGTATTGTATTTCTTTATTGGTGACGTTCTAATGGGCTACTTAAAAAGCTGATTGCAAAATGGTTAACTAAGAAAGGAAACCAGAAGGAAAGATGGACACTTACTAAATAGCATCTATTTAATAGGCCAAGGGCCTAGGCCAAGTGCAAGGTCCTGCAC